TCAACTAGACCAGGAGCTCTGGGGGAAGGGATCGTGTTTTATTCATTTTTTTTTTTTTTTTAATTTCTAGCTTGTAAAACAGCACTTGGCACACATTCTTACATCCTCAAAATAAAAAGATGGGAGGAAGGTTTGTATAAATGAATGTTAATGTGCTTTTAAACTGTAAATTACTATACACATGTAAGTTTTTCTAGCTTCAGAGGCATCCCAATGTAATACATGAAATTTGGAAGGCGAGTTTTTGGATAAACAGACTACTTTCTAGAAAAGGTAGAGAGGTTAAAGAAATGAAAGAAGATTGTTTCTCAGGGCCAGGCGCAGTGGCTCATGCCTGTAATTCCAGCACTTTGGGAGGCCGAGGCAGGTGGATCACCTGAGGTCAGGAGTTCGAGACCAGCCCAGCCAACATGGTGAAACCGTCTCCAGTAAAAATACAAAAATTAGCTGGGTGTGATGGCGCAAGCCTGTGATCCCAGCTACTCAAGGGGGCTGAGGCAGGAGAATTGTTTGAACCCAGAAGGTGGAGTTTGCAGTGAGCTGAGATCATGCTACTGCACTCCAGCCTGGGCAAAAAAGCAAGGCTGTCTCAAAAAAAAAAAAAAAGATATTTCTCCAAAATAAAAACAAAAAAATCTTAAGAGTCTGTTAAAGGGGCATTTGGAAGTGCTAACAACAGAAGCTAGACCAAAAAGGCTGAAACCTGAAACCACTAGGTAGGATTTTGGACTGTGAGCAAAAAGATTTAGAAACAGAATCTTTTTCATACTGTGTCTACAACAGGAGTATCTATAAGAGAAGAATCAAAAGGTAGAAAGAATATGAAGTATTGATCGACATTATAACTGTAAATAACTATCTCTTACTACAGTTTATCCTCATTATCATGTTAAATAGACTATAATTTTAAAATATTTTGTCCGGACGCGGTGGCGCACCCTTGTAATCCCAGCATTTTGGGAGGCCGAGGTGGGTGGATCACCCAGGTCAGGAGTTTGAGACCAGCCTGGCCAACATGATGAAAGCCCATCACTACTAAAAATACAAAAATTAACTGGGCATGCTGGCACACACCTGTAATCCCAGCTACTTGGGAGACTGAGGCAGGAGAATTGCTTGAACTTGGGAGTTGGAGGTTGTAGTGAGCCGAGATTGTGCCACTGCCCTCCAGCCGGAATGACAGAGCAAGACTTCCTCTCAAAAAACAAACAAGCAAAAAAGCATTTTAATGTGATCTCAGAGGAAAAAGGGAAGTGAAGGAGCCATAACTAAAGTATTTCTGGGATCTCATAGAAATAAGGTAAGCTCGCAAGGGCGCTGAATTTGCCTTCTGTCTCAGTTCTTTCTACAGCATGTCGCTTCTGGATGGTTATGTAGATCAGAGCTTTGCAAACTATCCGTGGTGAGGGGCAAGTGTGTGTGTTTTCTTTCCATCTGTCACACCCAATTCTTTTATAAAATACACTTTATAAAACAAATACTTGAAAAGTTAGAGGAAGAGTAAGATATATACAGTATAAGCACAAATTTATTATTAGGTTCAACAGATATTAAATCGCTCGGTAAACTACTCTAGAGAGTTCTGCGTGCTCACCTGATGTCTGTACTTCTCTCCGTGTAGATCAGCAGCAAACAGTTTGCAAATCGGCTCCTGCCCACCTCCCATACTTTGAATAGGACCAAGTCAGATTCAATATCTGCTTGAATATTTTAATAACGGACATTACAAGGAATGAAAAAGTTAGAGGAGGACCCTCATGTGCAAATCTTATAATGGTAGAGATCTTAAGGACATAAACTGATGAGAAAATAAATGGGGGACATTTTAAATCACAGAAAATCATTCGAATGGTGAAAAGCCCCTTTTGTGTGTTAACTCTCTGCTCCTTCCCTCACCAAAGTAGAGTAAATTCATTGATCCTCTTGGAGAGGCATTGTTTTCAGTGCAAAAGTGTTTTTTTTTTTTGTTTGTTTGTTTGTTTGTTTGAGATGGAGTCTCTCTCACTCTGTAGCCCAGGCTGTAGTGCAGTGGCGTGATCTCGGCTCACTGCAACCTCCGCCTCTTGGGTCCTGGTTCAAGCAATTCTCCTACCTCAGCCTCCCAAGTATCTGGGATTACAGGGACGAACCATCAATGCCCAGCTAATTTTGCATTTTTTAGTAGATAACGGGGTTTCACCATGTTGGCCAGTCTGGTCTTGAACTCCTGACCTCGTGATCCTCCCGCCTCGGCCTCCCAAAGTGTGGGGATTACAGATGTGAGCCACCGCGCCTGGCCTCAGTGCAAAAGTTTTAAATTGATGCTTCATAGCTGTTAACAGTAGGGTAACCACAGGTGTTTACATAAAAGCCAATAAAATTAATAAGTAGCATGACAGGCTCTAATAAATTCTGTTCGTGTCCTTACTCTTTCATTTCTAGCACAGAATGAACTGTTATTATCACTGAGCTTCGAACCACTCATTTTGGCTACAGATGTTTACAGCTGCAAATGCAGGGCATGCCACAGTAGTTTTCAGGAAATAGTCTAGGTTTAAAGTATCAAATTTAAAAGACTTACTTCTGATCAGTGGCGGGGAGCAAGTTATGACCATACAACTTTGATTTGTTTTCTAGAGTGGTCTACTAAACTGTGGACTCCTCACGATCTGTTTTCTCAATAATTTCTGAAAACACGCAACTTTTAAAATTTAGTTTCTCTACCACAGAGTCAGAGATTTTTGAAACTCTTAGAGCTGGAGAGGGGCCATCAGTTGTTGGATGCGGGCCATGGTTCTTTGTCTCTAACCCCAGATGAAATTCTTTAAGCCCCTTAACTCAATCTTTCTCTCACATGAAGAATTTAGTATCAGGTTTCTGCAAATGAGCAAGCTTCGCACTTGAAGTGAGAGAAAGGGTTGTTCATTCTCTCTTTAAGCTCCACGGCGGAGCCTCTGAAGTCAGCCAGGTAAATGTGGCTTGCATATGTCACCTCTGCCCACCCCTTATCTTGCCACATTAGTGTGGCTAGTGCCCATCCACATCCTTCTGTTTCACCTTCTTAATTTTATGTACAGTATGCCAAAATGCCCAGCAGCCTCTCAAGCTGCTGTTAAATACAAGCATTCACTCCACGTTGTCAGCCCAGCCCTTTGCACCCTGTGTAATTTAACAGAAATCACAATGAGTATATTTATTTATTTATGTTTGCAGGAGTATAGGTTTTAGGTGTTGTTCACAGTGTACCATTCTTGCAGTTCTGGGCCCCTTTCGGTTTTCTTATTTGGGCCTGTCTATCCTGTGCAGGTACTCAAGCTCTTATGATTGTTCCATTTATAACAGCGAGGGGAATAGGCCAAGCTGTTTGCGGATTTTAATGCCAACTACTCTTAAACGTTTTGAATCTAGTTTCTTATTGAGGTGACTGCTTTCTTAAGAAGAAAAGCTGTTACCACAAGCTTGTTTTGAAAAAGGTTTATGAACACTGGTTCATGCGTGACAGTGATTTTAGCGTGAAAGAACTAGAACGAAACCTAATTTGATGCAAACTGTAAAATGTGCTGCTTGAGAAGGTTTCTGAGGAAAGCCCTGCCTATTTGGCGCTGGAGGAACCTAAAGAACCTGAGAGAAAGAAGGTGGATTAGTAGAAGGTGTAAGAAACAATTCGCTGATGGTTCTTACATTTCAGCTTCTCCTTTCTCTAGCCACATCTAAATACGACTGTGTTGGCTGTGGGACATTGGAATGTGGCTGTGTGCAGGGATTCTCGCTGTCTGGTTGACTTTTCACAAGGTTCCTTCCTCTAAATGCTGCAGATCACCATGTTCCATTTGAGAGGGAGCCATACTTCGTTGTTCAGCCCAGGGCAAGGACTGTATTCATTTTTTTATTTTACGTTATTTCAGCTGTTTTCACTTTTTTCTTTATTGTTTTCTTGCCTCCTACAGAATCCTTTTTCAGGTGTTGCTAGGGAAAGGGGAACACTCAGTTATGAACTCTTCAGCACACAAGGGGCAGAAGGCAGCTTCCTCTTTCTCAGCAGTTCAGATCGCTTCTTCCCACATCAGTTTAACCCACTACGGGTCTGAATCCACAGCAGATTTGTGTGGAAGCCGTTTCTATGTTAAAACATACAAAATCAATTGAGAGTTTTTCGGGTTCATTAACACAGCATAGCAGAAAGCAAAAAAGTAAGTTGTACGCTTATTTTTTTCACTTAAAAAAACACGTTGATATTTGAAGAAGGAATTTAGTTCTGTACTTTAGAAACAAGTAGTTTTGTGACCTAAAGGTTATGTTTAAAACAGTTCTTTCAGTCCAGAATTTTTATTTCTGGTTTTTCACTATATGAATTTTAAAGTATGTTTTTATCTTACACATCAATCAAGGAAACAGCAGACAAGGTGGTTATCCCAAAACGGACATAATCGGTATGATGGTTGTTGTAGCACCCATCTAGGGAAGCTCTAATGTATTTTGGAGGTAGATAGAATGTGTACCATACTCAGGCTGGGCATGGTGGCTCATGCCTATAATCTCCGCACTTTGGGAGGCTGAGGCGGGTTGATCACCAGGTCAGGAATTCGAGACCACCCTGACCAACATGGTGAAACCCCACCTCTACTGAAAATTCAAAAATTAGCTGGGTGTGGTGGCGCAGCCTGTAATCCCAGCTACTCAGGAGGCTGAGGCAGGAGAATCGTTTGAACCTGGGAGGTAGAGGCTGCAGTGAGCTGAGATTGTGCCATTGCACTACAGCCAGGCAACAGAGCGAGACTCCATCTCAAAAACAAACAGAAAAAGAATGTATGCCACACTCTTTCTCTTTGCTAAAACTCTTCATTCTATAAATAGGTGAGTATTAGGGCCAGTAATAAGAGAGCAACTGTGTATTCTCAGAGTTAATGAGCACATTAGTATAACAATGACTTGAAACAGATATTAAAGATTCAGTGGGCATAATTAAAGATGACTTGGAAAGGACAGGAGTGTTTAAGTCATCCTTCTCATTGATCTCATAGGATTACCTTGACTGCATCAGGGACCAAACGAAACTTCTCCTGGGGACTGAAGAAAGATCAGCCCTTTTTGGAAACATACAGGATATCTACCACTTCAATAGGTAAGTTAATATTCAAAATATCGTTCTTACATGGAAACATTATAAAAATTTCTCAAATGAATGCAGCCTAAGAAAACTTTACCTATAACCCCTGACTCAGCCTCATACGTTTTTGTGGGCTATTGTGCCATGAAGCTTTCTACTTAGAAGCATCCTTATTTCCTTGTGTCTCACATGGATTCCATATTCTCTCTCTCCCTCCTCCTGGCTCAGAAGAAACCTATTTGCCCTGGCGGGGCAGTGACATCTTTTCTTATGCAACATGACATGAACAGGACATCTGAGAATACACGCTTGCTCAGTCTCCAGGATCCCCAGCTACACGGGATTTTCTATAACTTTTCTTCTACCTGGGGAGTGGGCTGGACACAGTAAACACAAAATACATACTTCAAGTCATGATATATTAATTCAATTGAATTGATAATTTCAATCGGTTAATTGAAAATGTAAGTATGTAGCAGATACTAGGCTAGAAAATTACAATGGTAAACAAGACAGAGTGAATAAATAAGTTATTATATTAATGCTTCTTGAAAGAAAACTTAGGGGGTACATGGTGGCTTATGCCACCATGGGTTACCTAGGATTACCTAGCACTTTGGGAGGCTGACGTGGGCAGATCACCTGAGGTTAGGAGTTCAAGACCAGTCTGGACAACATGGTGAAACCCCATCTCTACTAAAAATATAAAAATTAGCCAGGTGTGGTGGCGTACACCTGTAATCCCAGTTACTCAGGAGGCTGAGACAGGAGAATCGCTTGAACCCATGAGGTGGAAGTTGCAGTGAGCCAAGATTACACCACTGCAATTTGTCTAGCCAGGATGATGGAGCTAGACTTCATCAAAGAAAGAAAGGGACACAGAGAGAGGGGAAAAGAGGGGGAGAGAGAGAGAGAGAAAAGAAAAGGGAGAAAGGGGAGAAAGAGAGGGAAAAGGAGAGGGAGAAAGAAAGAGGGAAGGACAGAAGGATGGATGGACAGGTTAGTAGGCTGGTTAAGAGCACAGAAGCTGGTGTTCAACCTATGTGAGTTTGCATCCCAGCAAAGCCACCTGTATGTATCAGCTGAATCTTTAAATGGAAAGAAATGAACTAACTCCAGTATGTCAAGTCTTTGCTCAAATCCTTCTTCTCGCTGAGGCTCCCTGAGGCTCCACACATACCTCACCTCCTCCAGTTTTCCTTGTTCTCATGGCACTCATAATTTCTAACATGCTATCTGATTGACTTTTACATTGTGCTGTGGTTTCTTTCCTCTCCACCCTGACTCACAAAACACTTGCGCCATAAGGACAGGAGTCTGTTCTGTTACCGCCCAAATGTCTGAAATGGTGTCTGGCCCACAGGAGGCATCCAAACGTTTATTGAAGGAAGGAATGGGAGCAGTAGGAAAATCTCCCTCATATGGTTGTGGTGAAACTCCCACCACCTGATAAGCTGAAAGTGCCAGCACAGAGGAAGTACCAAAATATACGCCAGCGATGCTCTTGGTTTTGTGATAATGAATTCCCATCATCACATTCTGCAATGCCCTGTCATTTTATGACTCAGCTATAAAGGCAAGCTCGGTCCTACCCATCTCGGCTTACTAAAATTGCTCAATGTGAGCTCCTTGAAGGCAGGATTCACATCTCCTTGGCCACCCTTGAATTCCAACACCTCCCACAAGCCTGGCCTCTGGGAGACATGTTCCTTGATTTGAAACGCCTTATCCTTTCATTCTGAAAGCCTAGGATGTAGGAAGTATCAGTGTTACAACAGCACTTTTTTCTTTCTTATTTATTTATTTTTATTTTTTATTTTTCTATTGCATTTTGGGTGTGGGGGTACATGTGAAGAACATGCAAGATAGTTGCATAGGTACACACGTGGCAGTGTTTGCTGCCTTCCTCCCCTTCACCTATATCTGGCATTTCTCCCCATGCTATCTCTCCCCAACTTCCCACCCCCTGTTGTCCCTCCCCTATTCCCCCCAACAGACCCCAATATATAGTGCTCCCCTCCCTGTGTCCATGTGTTCTCATTGTTCAACACCCGCCTATGAGTGAGAACATGTGGTATTTCATTTTCTGTTCTTGTGTCAGTTTGCTGAGAATGATGGTCTCCAGGTTCATCCATGTCCCTACAAAGGACACGAACTCATCATTTTTGATGGCTGCATAATATTCCATGGTGTATATGTGCCATATTTTCCCTGTCGAGTCTATCATCAATGGGCATTTGGATTGGTTCCAGGTCTTTGCTATTGTAAACTGCAACAGCACTTTTTTCATTTGACTCAGTTAGACTTTGAAAAACAGTCATTAATGTTGCATCAGTGTTTCTCAGCCCAGACTATACACTGGAATCACCTGGGAAACTGGATCCTAACTCCAGAAATTCTTACTCATTGGTCAAGGTGAAGCTAGAACGTCAGAATTTTGCAAAGGTCTTCAAGTGTTTGGAAAATGCAGCTGTGGTTGAGATACACAGTCTAAATAAAATTAGCAAAATAAACAGAAAATAGAGAAAGGGCATAAAAATTGAATTAGAGAATCCTGAGACTACTTGTAATGTGCTGGTGTGAAAGCTGGCCCCCATGGCACAGTCGCTGATGATAAAATCCTGTGCACCCCTGCAGTTTCTAGTTTCAGAGCCCACTAATGCCCTGTAACCCAGAAAGGCAAGAGGGCTAGGTCCCGGGAGGCCCCTGGCCGAGGTCTTCTGTGGTTTGGCTGTGAGTTGATGGTAAGGCATATTTATAGAGTGCTTGCTCCATGCCAGAGGCCATAGAGCACTAGATACATTTTCACTTCATATGCACCATCTGAGCCTCTCTGACTCCAAACCCCAGGCATTTAGCCATGTGCCTTCCTGCCAGAGTAGAGCCCTGCTTCTCAGGCATGTTTCATGAAGTTGTAGCTTACTCCAGGAGGGACTTTTAATCCTGGAGTTTAAATCTTAATGTGTCTCCTAATTTAAAGAAAGATAAGAATGAGGCCAGGCACGGTGGCTCACACCTGTAATACCAGCACCTTGGGAGGCCAAAGTGGGCAGATCTCTTGAGGTCAGGAGTTTGAGACTAGCCTGGCCAGCATGGCAAAACCCCATTTCTACTGAAAATACAAAAATAAATTAGCTGGACATTGTGGCGCATGCCTGTAATCCCAGCTACTTGGAAGGCCAAGGCAGGAAAATCACTTGAACCCAGGAGGCAGAGGTTGCAGTGAGCCGAGATTGCACCACTGCACTCCATCCTGGGCAACAGAGTGAGACTCTGTCTCAAATAAATAAATGACTCTATCCTATGCAACAGAGTGAGACTCTGTCTCAAATGAATGAATGAATGAATGAGTCAACGCGTTAGCAAGAAGAGATCTTTGCAATGGATCCCAGTCTGTGGAAGTTGGATGACTGAGATTTATATTCCTGAATCACATCTCTGTTCTTTTCTTTCTCTCTCTCTTTTTTTTTTTTTTTTTTTGAGGCAGTGTTTCACTGTATTGCCTAGGCTAGAGTGCAGTGATGCAATCTCAGCTCGTTGCAACCTCCGCCTCCCGGATTCAACCAATCAATGGGTGTATCGATTTCAAATCTATGGCTGGAGCTTGAAATAATAACTTTGAGCTCCTATTAGTTCAGGTCCAAGTTTTTCCAAAATAATATAATAATATTGTGGCCAACTAGATAAGACTGAAATCTAAAATTAGAGAGGGCATAAAGAAATGCTATTATGCTGGCCTGAAAAATTCAACTGACTGGGTTTCTTTTTTCAGTAAAGATTTCCAAAATACAGAAAAGCACAGAAAGACATTCTGTGCAAGAGTTGGGCATGGCTCATTTATTGTATTACTCCTGTCTTTGGGCTGTATTTGCTTTAAAATTTGTTGGATGAATGAAGGCATTTCAGATAATGTTGAATCCACTTACATACCCTTCCTAGTCACATGCCGCTCTGTGGAGAATGGCACACTGGTGTGTCAGTAAACCAGTTCTCCAGCGTGGGGAAAGGGAAGAGAGGATCTGGAATTTGTAATGTGTGCTGATTTCTGTTGTATAAACACCCATCACAGCAGATTTCAAGTTCGTAACACAACATCCCTGAACACGGAATTAAGAAGAGATGAGCAGAATTGGCTCAGGCAAGCCAGTCTAAGTTGGCTTAGTACACAACTGTGCTGGAACTGCTATCCAAAGCTTGGTGTTTCTTTCCCAAGCATGGTCTTGTTGCCATTACTAGATATACAAGTATTTATTTAAAATGTGTAACATGCTGTGGGAGGAGTGCTTAAGCTAAGCAGTTTGAGACCAGCCTGGGCAACATGGCGAGATCCCATCTCTATAAAAAAAATCAAAAATTAGCAGAACATGATGGCATATGCCCATGGTCCTACTACACAGGAGACTGAGACAGGAGGATTGCTAGAGCCCAGGATTTTGAGACTGCAGTGAGCTATCATGGCACCACTGCACTCCGGAATAGGCAACAGATTGAGACCCTGTCTCAAAAATAAAAGAAGTCATATGCTTTCACCTGTTTCAAATATGGCACACATGATGCCAACTTACAGCTTATTTTCACTCAACATTGTTTTGGGGAGTTATAGCTCTAGTTCATTTAACTGCTATGTAATATCCATTGGGGATAATCTGTCTCTGCATTTTGCCAATTGCCTTAAGATTGAGCATCTTTTCTTGTTGGCCACTTTGCTCTCTTTTGCAATTTTCTGGCTCATATCCATTGCCCATTTTTCCATTGGGATATTTGTTTTTCTTGTATAGGAGATCTTGATGAATTCCGGCTAGTATCTTTGCAGATTATGTGAGGTGGAAATATCTCCTACCATGAGACATGCCTTTTAACTTTAATTGTGGTTTATTTGAAAATAAGTTGTGGGCCGGGCGCAGTAGCTCACGCCTATAATCCCAGCACTTTGGGAGGCCAGGGCGGGCGGATCACAAGGTCAGGAGCTCAAGTCCAGCCTGACCAACATGGTGAAACCAAACCGTGTATGTACT